TACACACTGATACATTTGATCTCCAGTGGTTGATTGACTGATTGATCCACTACTGACAGTCGTTCCATCCCATGTGACATTAACAGCATGATCATATGTGTGATTACTACTGTGTAATAAGTAACTGTTATTACAAGGTGATGAAGAAGTGCATCCTGCATTATTAATCAATTGTATATCATCCAATTTCAATTTAAAGTCATAACCATAAGCATATCCAGTTTTAATACAATGTATTGCGTATTTTTGAGGTAATACTATACTTGATGGGACATCAACATAAAATGATGCTATTTGTACAAATCCTACAATTGAAAAGAATCACAAAACTTTAATTAGCTCTTCTTACTGAATATAATAGCAAAGATGATGTTTGAAGCAGTCAAACAATCAGTGGGTAGACAACACTTGTACCAGCCTTCTTGAGCTGCTGGTAGTCCCTGAGCAAGATAAAGATTGATAGTAGCATCAGGTGAAGTGACATTAGTACAACAAAAAGGATCACTGGCACTATTACTATTACAGTCAACAGGATCATCAGGATCAGCAACTCTAACCCACTGACCAGTAGTTAGACTAGTACCAGGTAACACACATGATATAGCTTCATTAGCTGCATTGACTTTACTATCCCAAAAATATGACCCATTAGGATAACAGTTTCCATTATTTCCTAAATATATACCTATTAAATAAATATTACATATGTAATAATTTATATTAAAACTAAAATACCTTCTTGCTGACAATGAGTGAAGACACTGATTGTACTACTAGCAGGTCCCAGTAATTGTTGATAGGCTCTGACTGTGATGCTATAAGTTGTTACTGCTCTCAGTCCATTCAGTGTGATTGTATTATTACTACTTCCCTTCACCTGTACTGTCTGCACAGTGTCTGTGTCACTAGTGACATTGACTACATATCCATCAGCATCAGATGAATCAAGTGCAGTCCAATTGACAGTGATAGTGGTAGCTGTCTTGTTGACCTCAGTAAGAGAAGAGGGGGCAGTTGCTGGGGCTGAAAAATAATGAAGTTGTTTTATTCTAGTTACCAGTCAGATATTGCATCATGTATCCAATGTTCATCTACAATATATCTACATCTACTTTGATAAATTTCTCATGTATCTACTTGTATTTAAAATAATAGCCAAAATAAATTTTAAAGTGCAAAAAATAGGAATAAAGCTTAACCTAGTCTATTCTGTGTAGGGGAAGGAAAGAAAGATAGAAAGAAGGCTATGCTCATTCTAGTTCACTTATATGACTAATTTTAAAAATATCTTCTTTCACAATATCTCCTAGCCTGCTAGCAGTATACTATTTTGTCAACATACACTATAGGCAACATGTTGCTAAGAAACATGTTCCAAAATTAGAAAGCCGTTCTATTTCTGGCAACATGTTGCTTACAAGATCAAAGTAACCACAAAATAGCAACATGTTGCTTAGTGTATATTTTTTATAGCAAAAATTAGAAGGCATGGCTTTATTTTGAAGTTGTTAGCTTGATTGTGTATCTAAATATAGCTACTTTTTACTCAGAAGTTCGTGTACGTATTCATGTATCGTGTATACATGTGCAATGTGTCTAAGTTACCTGTTACAAAAATGACTCTATTTCTTGCTACTGGGTTGTGACCGTAATGACCAAAAAACAAATAGAATCTGAATACATGATCCCCATTGTTGTTTGATTGGCTCAGTACTCCACTAGTAATAGTCTCTCCAAACCAAGTAACAGTTAGAGTATAGTCCCACCTTCCATTACCATAATCTACTGACATTCCATCACCATACATGAATGTGCAACTATATGAGGCCATAGATTCAGTGCAGAGTTGAGTACTACTGCTACCAGACTCATAGTACCAATTGGCAGCATGTAAAAAAGAACTGTGATCATCATGACCAATTTTAATGGCATGTAGTGTATATGTTTGAGGTAGAACTGTTTTATCAGAAGGAAGGTCAACTGTGATGGTTTCAATCTGTACCCATCCTACAGTAAATCAGTAACAAAGTGACAGTGTGTACTAGTAAAAAGAGAGTACTTACTGAATATATTAGCAAAGATGATGTTAGTGTTAGAATCTGAACAATCAGTGGGTAGACAACACTTGTACCAGCCGTCATCAGATGATGATATGCCTTGTCCAGTAGGTATGTAAAGACTGATAGTAGCATTAGGTGAAGATACTTCATTACAACGAAGAGGATTAGTACTGCAGTCAACTGATGATCCACTAGTAGCATTAACCCACTCTCCACCAGTCAGATTAGAACCAGGTAACACACACTGGATACTTTTACTGGCTCCTGTAATGTCATTATGATTAAAATATGATCCATTAGTATAACAGGTTCCATTATGCCTCAGGTAGATACCTATAAAAACCTATACAGTTGTTATCATACACATCCAGTGTCTTACCTGAGGAAGGTGGACATTGACTAATAACTTCACTGACACTCAACAAGAAGATAAATCCAACCAATTGCAGTGAAAACATGTCAACAAAGAAATGGAAGACTACCAGAATAATCAAATTGAGAAAACTGCATGTACAGTAATTTGCTTCAGTTTAAAACTTATAGCGTGTTTGTCCTCTTAGTGTTGACAACATAGGCTGTACAAAGTTGATACATCAGCGTCACAGATGAATAAAGTTATTTTTTTTATCACAACAAAAACAATGCTCTATTATATCAATGTCTCTACTAAACATTTCAAAACAGTCACTTACTCACTTATAATAACAAAAACAACTAATTTTAATTTTGTCCGTGACCTAGAGTTACAATAATAAACAAGTTAATAATAATAATAATAATAATAATTGTTGCTGTTGTTGTCGTTATTGTATACTAAAAATAATAATAATAATTTCCAATTATATACTAAGAAATTGTAATTTCAGTTATAATATACCCAGACTAGTTATCACAAGAGAAATCACTTTTTGTTTTCCCTGCACACATACACACTTCAAGCTTTATAAAAGAGTGTCACAAGAAAAATATTGTGCCATACTCGCTAAGCAAGAGTCGGCATAGAATGAAAAATAACACTACACCATTAAGGTAATCTATGCACGCTATACCTTAATATTTCTTTTTTTTTGTACAAGTATACTTTTTTAGATAAAGATAGCATCACACTCAATCAAGGATCTCAATATTTATCAATAATTTTAATAATTAATAATAAATAATTTTAAATAATTTTAATAATAATTTTTGGCTTTATTTGGACTAAAGTAAAAATTGAACTTCTCATTTTATGATCAACAATTGAGGCCATCTAATTTTATAAAGTAAACAAATCACAGCATAAATGAACTATTGTTAAAAAAGATACAGTTGTACCACATAAAGCACATTACTACCAAGAGTACCAACTAACTATTTAAAAGCAATTACAACACTGTGCTATGTTACATAAATAGCATCATCATAGACATTGATATCTGGACACTCATACAATGAGTCTTTTGTAGTATCTGTAGTATCTTTAGTCTTGTGTACAACATATGATTCACATGCTTGCATTGATATATCATCATTAAATCTATATAATGATGCATATAAAAGTCTATTACTGTCATTTATTAAGTTACTTATTTGTTTCTTTAGCAGTAGCTGCATAGTAAGATTTAAGCCTAAAATAATATAAATAATTTGATAGTATGGATTAGTGCATTCATACTTGATAAAGCAGTAGATGTGAATAATGATACTAACAACTAGTGATATTGTTAATAATCCAACCACTGCACCCAGTCCAATACTAGCACCATCAACAGCTTCTGCAACGATTATTTAAAAGTAGATTTATAAAGTACTAGTACTAAACTACTATTATAAATAAACAATGCTAGTTATAGAGTCTATGCTTCCAATTACCTTCATCATTTGATCCTGTGCATACATATTGACTTATCAATGTCTCATTAGCAATAACTCTCCAGCTTCCTGGTCCTCTATCAGTGTATGCACGTACACCAAAAATATAACAAGACATATCATTAAGACCAGTAATGTTAATAAATGTATTGCTATTGGTTGAATTAGAGAACTGTAGCATTTGAATATTAATGTCATCATCATCTACCATTAAACAGCAACACCTGTCAAAAAGAATATGATATCCTATCTCATATGTGATAATGGGATAGTCTGATGGAATATAACTAGGTACACTCCATGAGATAACAGCCCATGTAGTGTCCATGATACTGGATACTGAACCAACTGGACCAAGTACTAAATAAACACACATTCTCACAGAACTGATATAGTATAATAATTACATACCTATTCCAATCTCTACTACAATAGGATCACTGAAGGGACCTCTTCCAACAGAATTGACAGCAGCTACACTGATGTTATACTCAGTACCAAATACTAGATCATTCAATATGATATATCTCTCAGTACTGGTGAGGTTGTATGTGATACTACTGT